TCTCAAACAAAACAAAACACCAGCAAGGCATCATAAAAAACCAAAGGCCAAACAGAAAGAGTATGGAAAGGCCTTCCTAAACCCAAATGCAGAGATGGATGAGAGAATTGGTGCTGTAGGGATGCATCACTATGGAAACCACAGGGCAAACTTGTGCCATAGAAACCACAGTACCATGTGTTGTCATGGAAATCACAATTAGGACTCTTACTAAGGGTGCTTCAAAACTATTTTAAAATCTGCTAGCAATCGGGGTGGCTCCTTAGTGGAACAGCAAGCAGCAGCTGATGCTACTTAAATGCATACACACACATATACACACACACATGCACGTATATACATGTACACACATGCACATACACACATGTACACATGGAATTGTACAGTAATAAATATTACTTTAAAAATATAAGCAAAATTTAAAATTTTCTCTCTTAAATATTTATTTAAAATATTTTGGAATGCATAATAGGTGGACATACACACACAGTATGGTTTTATATCCAGTTATTTGATTTTTTTTTTGGCACCCGGTATCAAACTCAGGAACTTGTGTTTGCCAGGCAGGCACTGTGCTGTGTCACTGAGCTATCTCTGGCCTTGAAATACTTCTATAGTATTCAAAAATTTTTTTGGAGACAGGATCTTGCTATGTAGTGCAGGCTGGCCTTGAACTTGCCACAATCCTCCTGCCTCAGCCTCCTAAGTGCTGGGATAACAGATGAGCACCACCATGCCAGGCTTTAGCATTCAAATTCTTTGTGGCAATAGTGGGGACTGAACACAGGGAGCACTGAGCTATATTCCCGGCCCTTTTTATTTCTTTGTTAGGAATTTATTTTGAGACAGGCTCTCAGTATGATGCTCAGCCTAGCCTCAAACTGAATTCATTCAAGTTTTTTAAAACATCAAGTTTTTAAAAACTTGAATGAATTTCCCATTGATCCTCCTGCCTCTTCCTTCCCAGAGACAGTCATTTTGAATATTGCCGCACTCAAAAATTCACTTTATTAAAACCCAGTGTCTCTTATTACATTGCACGACAAAATAAACTACCAAAAGAAAAGGAAGGGCATCTTGAGACTATCTCTTGCTCAGCTTCTCTGAGTCCGGGCCAGGAGCGCGGACAGTAAGGGGGCAGTGGCCCAGCAGCTGGAGCACACAGTCAGGGAGGGGCAGGGGAGGCCCACACTGGCCTGTGCGCCCTGCCACCCTGGGGCTCATGGCTGTCCCCACCCATCCTGGTCCACATCAGCTTTCCTTTCCTTTCCAAGTGTTAGCTCCAATAGTTGTCTCAGGGTATACTGTTTGCAGATGTTCTGCTTTAGTAGATAAAGCCAAAGGGTTTTCCGGAATGGTTGTCCTCATTTACAGTCCCACAGCCATGAACCATAAGGCAGTTCTCGCCAACTCTCAGTGTTTTTTTGACTTTTTCATTGTCTGTATTCTCAGTCAGTGAGTGGGGCTTGGCTGGGAACTGTTAACTGAAGTGCCCATGTGTGACTCTTGCGTGTGACTTGGGGTTCCTCACAGCACGGCGGTCAGATGATAGTTGAACATCTTGCTTGGAAGGGCGGGGACCCGAGAATGAGAGACTCCCAGTGAACACAAGGCTGAATGCCTTCCATAACCCAGCCCAGGAAGCCGCAAAGCTCCTTTCCTGCCATACTCTACTGGCTGGAAGGGAGGGACATAGATCTTTCAAAAGCAATGCCAGAGGGCTTAGGGCCCTGTTTAAAAACCTCTGCATAGTGATATAGTGATATTTTTAAAAAATTAAGTCATAGAATTTCAATATTTAAAGCATATGAGAGGGCTGGGGATTTAGCTCAGTGGCACAGCACCTGCCTGGCAAGTGCGGGGTTGTGAGTTCGATTCCCGGTACCGGAAGAAAACAAACAAACAAACAAAATAAAGCACATGAGAGGTTGTAAAGCTCTACTATAGCAGAGGGTAATTTTTTTGTTTTTCGTTTTTATTTTTGGTGGTACTGGCCTTACACATGCTAGACAGTCTTATCATTGAGCTGCATCCACGGCCCATTTTATTTTAAGACAGGTTCTTACTAAGTTACTCGGGCTGGCCTCAAATCTGGCAGTCTTCCTGTGTGAGCTAGGATTACAGGTGTGCACCACTGCGCCTCCCTTTTAGTTAGGATTACAGGTGTGCACCACTGCGCCAGCTCAGGGTCCATTTTTACTGGGACGTGAACGTTCAGATGTTAACAGTTTGAACAATGTCTTTTGTTCTGCACAAGACATAATCACATAAGTGTTGGTCATGGCCCTATTTAGGAATGGCAAAGATGACAGTGAAATAGGGATTTGCCTATTTGACCTTGGAAAGGCCAATTCCAAAACTGAATGCAAAGAACAGATTTCTACCAATATTTATTTCTACCAAGACTATCGGTAGAATACTAAGAGAAATTCAGTTCTTCATTAGCATTTTCCATATGTGAGGTCCCTGAATCTTCAAAACCTCTAGATCAAGAAGATTTTTTTATGAGTATCCCCACTGTGGAGAAAAAGGAGTGAAAGTCACTTGTCTAAGATCACAGAACTAGGAAGAGTATTGCTAGGCCAGGGGCTGTAGGAATCGGATGGTAGACATCCAATTAACAAACTATTAAACTACTAACCTAAACTTAGTTCCTGCTTCAGCAGCACCTATACTAACCTAAACTTAACAAGCTAATGAAAAAGATCCTCTATTGGGCAGCAAGTTGAGGAACCAACAAGAAAAGGAAAGGCTCAATCTTCAGGACTATGGGGATGGACAGAAGAAAGAACAGTTTCTAGAAATTTCCAGGAATTTCCAGAAGTTTCCAGGAGTTTCCAGCACTCAGGGGCTGCAGCTCAGAAATGCTGCCCAACAAGAGCTGTGGCTTGTGAGAGAGGGCGATGAGTGGTGGAGGGATGGTTGGAGCCTCTTTTCTCTTGCCCTCTAATTTCTGGGGGTTTTTGTGTGTGTTTTTCTTCCGGTACCAGGAATCGAACTCACGACGTTGCGCTTGCCAGGCAGGCGCTGTGCTGCTGAGCTAAATCCCCAGCCCCTACCCTCTAATTTCTCACGTTTCCCAGGAGTCCAGTCTGCAGAGGAGAAGGCCGCTGGTTGGAGGACAGTGTCCCTGGCCCTAGACCCGCATTAGGTACACGACGGTGGAAAGAGGTGGTGGGCCTGGAGCTGCGATTGGAAGAGTAAAAGCCCTTGCTCAGCCGACACCGCAACAGTCGCGCTTCCAGCCCACTAGCTAGGCCCAGCAGCAGAGCCACGCCGAATCCTAGCAACGAACCGCCGGTTGCCATGGAGACCGCCGGCGCGCCTTGGGGCAGCGAAGACACTTCGCTGCGGCGCGGGAGCGAGTGCGCATGCGCACGCTGCGACTCCCTCCCAGTCTCCGCGCAGCTGCGGGAAGCGATCGAGGCCGGGCGCCGCGTGACCCTCCCGGGCGGGAGCGTGGGCTGCCCGCGGCTTCCGGTGGTTTCTGGCTCCTTCTGGCTCCGGAGCCGCAGCACCGGGGTCACCCCAGAGGCCTCTCGTTGGCGTGTGGGCGCAGGGCCTGCAGGCGAAGAGGGCGCAGGGCAGCGCGGCCTCCGGGGACACCGCCCCCGGACCCGTGACCTCGGGGTGTCGGGGCCGCTGCCGCCCGCGCCCTTGCTGCCTTGGGTAGAGCAGCTCGATGTCGGAGGCCGCGGCGATGAACCTCCTGGAGGACTGGTGTCGCGGGATGGAGGTGGACCCTGCCGGTCAGGGGCATCCCCGAGGACTGTGCCGAGCGGCACTGGAGGAGACCTTGAACGGGGTCCTCGCCCCCCTGGGCACCTATCGCGTGCTCAACAAGATATTTTTGAGGGAAGAGAATGTCAAAGCGGCCCTCATCGAGTTGGCCAGGGGCGTGAACCCGAGCGCCGTACCCCGAGAGTTCGAGGGGTGGTGTCTGGAAGGTAGCCTGCAGGGAACCCGCCCAGGATGCCGAGTTTTTGAAAAACTGAAATGAATACCTGGGTGCTGAGGGTCGCATCTGGGAAGATGCGGTCCGCCTCCTGCAGCTGAACCCCTCCCCGCCGCCCCAGAGCGCGAGCCAGGCCTCGGAGAGCTGGGCGGAAGCCCTGGGGGTGCTGCTGGGAGCTGTGGTGCAGGCCATCGTGTGCATGGATGCCGAGATCCGCGGCCGGGAGGAAGCTCGGGCTCGGAGGCCGAGGAGGGGGCGCCGTGGGCTTTGGCAGCAGGGAAGAAGGTCAAGAAGGAGCCGGGGCTTGCCACGGAGCCGGGCTCGGCCCCAAAGATGGAGAGCCCCACCTGCTGGAAGGGCAGGGAGGGCTGGGTTGGCCCTCCCAGGCCCATAGTTCGCAGGGCTGGAGCTAAGGCTCGCTCCAGGAGAAAGAGGCAGAAGAAAAGCCCCAAGCAGGAACCAGTGCCCTGGAAAAAACCCAAAGGCAGCCATTGCAGGGGCTTCGCCTACTCAGAGGGGCCTGAGGCTGGTGATGCCGGGAGAATGGAGATCTCGGAGTCTGGCAAGAGCCACAGAACACCCTGTGTGAAGCAGGAGGAGCCGGCTTCGAAGAGGCCTGCGGGAACAGGTGCCTGGAAGGTTCCCAGAGAACCTCCTCAGGATGCCCTGGGGCAGCTGAGACCCTGGAGGCACCTCAGAGTCAGACCATGATGGCCTCAGGAGAGGCCGCCGGAGAAGAAGGCCGTGGGCGGGGCCTCTGGAAAGAGCCTCGGCCCGGTGAGGAAGAAGAAGAAGAAGGTGACCTTGGGCCCTGTTGCTTATGTCCTCGTGGATTCTGAAAATGACAAGAAGCTGATGGTTCCAAAGAAAGGGCTGAGCTCCAGCAGGGCTGCGCTGGCTCAGAAGGCCCCGGGTGGCCCGCGCCTTGCAGCAGCGCCGGCCTCGATGTCCAGGCATCCGAAGGCCAAGGCTGCAGGCTCTCCTCTGGCGGCCAATGGTGAGAGTGAGGGCGAAGCGACCCGACCCGAGTGGGAGGCACGAGAGTGCCGCTGGGGGCAGAGGAGCCCTTGAGTGGGAGCTCAGGGAGTAACAAGGACGTTCCGGTGTTGGAGGGAGTGGATGCCACCCTGGGTGAGGTTTAGAGGGTGAGACCTGGCCTCCCTCCTAGGGGTTCCTGCTGGCCACCCCTGCGCACACGGGAGGCAGCAGAGCAAACCCAGCCAGCCTCTTTTACACATCATTGCCTCGGGTTGGTGTTCGCTCTGCCACTCCTCCCTCCTTCCTTAAGAAAAGAATGGGTTGGGGTTACAGTGTGTGTCAGGGTCTGCGGCTTTATGGGTGAAGGTTTCTGAGGGCCTGGGTGCTGGACGGAATGTCCAAGGCCTCAGAAGTTCCTACGGAGTTAGACGTTCCTTTTTTTCCGTCTTTTTGAGACAGGGTCTTGCTATGCAGTTCAGGCTGGCCTTGAGCTCACTTTGTGGCCCAGGCTGGTCTTGAACTCGCAATGATCCTCCTGCCTCAGCCTCCCGGGTGCTGGGATTACAGGCGTGCGCCGCCACGCCTGGCAGGAGTAAGACTTTCATAATGGCACCCTTTCCTGCTCTCTCCTGTGAGTTCTTGTGATTTACCCACAGATTCCAGAAAGCCTTGATCCCGAGGACCACCCGTGCCCCAGGAGTTGAAGGAAGACGAAGGAAGAAGTCCCAAGCCGGGAGCAGAGTGTTCGCTTGCTGGCAGAGGGGACAAGAGTGTTGACTCTTTGAGGGACCCGGTGTATAGGGCTGTGGCTCTCAGAGGTAAACGATAGATGGGGTGTGTAAGGGACAGTGCGGGAGGGAGGTGTCTGCCTGTTTGCTCTGGCAGGTCTGCCATTTTTCTTAACCTCCTCTTCAGCTCACTCTCAGAGGCTAGAGAGCTGGTAAGTGGCCTGGGAAAATTCTAGAACATTCCCTGGCGTGGGTGGGCGGGGTTCCTGCTCAGCCTCCCTCCCCGGCTCCCTGCTTCCCATGGTCACCCGACCTTCAGGGCCTGGCGTTTTGAAGAGCAGGGCGGCTGCTTCCTTCCAGCCTCCTTGGGCCTCCGCAGTGGGCAAGTGGAGCCCAGATCTTCCCTACAAGTGCGGTGTGCTTGTCCCTCCGGTCCTGACTTCTGTCCTCCATTGTCTAACCCCAAGGTTTAGGTCCTGAGAGTTCTGGGAAAAAGCACAACAACAACGAATGTCTGCCTCGTCCTTGAAAGAGTGGAGTTTCAGGGTCTATTAGTAAAACCGACATGTGGATCCCCATGTGGGGCGAAGCCTTCTCAGGAAGCCGGCGGGGAAGAAGGGTAATTGTGGGGGAAGCACTTGGACTTGTCCAGATTCTTTGCTGTCCTTCTGTCTAGTGCCACCAAACTCACCGATGGCCTTGGGGGCTGAAGTCCGCTTTCCACACCACAGTGAGAAGGGACAGAAAAAGCCCTTTACAATACGGCTGTTAATTGGTGCCCTCTGAATGTAGACACAGTAAATCTGACCAGACTGCTGTGTCCCGAGTGTGTGTGTGTGTGTAGGGGGGGGACAGTGTCCCTAAGACCAGACTATCTGGGAAGTCCCAAGGCATCCCACAGATATAAGCCAAATCTATTTTTTCATGTTTTATTTATTTATTTATTTATTTATTTTGGTCTTTTTTGAGACAGGGTCTCGCTATGCAGTTCAGGCTGGCCTTGACCTCACTTTGTAGCCCAGGCTGGTCTCGAACTAGCAACGATCCGCCTGCCTCAGCCTCCGCAGTGCTGGGATTACAGGCGTGCACCACCAAGCCCCGCTATCCATATGTTTTAAAGTGCGGCATATGGCAACTCAAATACAATCCAAAATAGTCATGTTGAGAACCTGTAAGAGAATTACCTTGTGTTTGTAGTTCACTTGTCTAGCCTCTCCTTGGCTATAACTACATTTCTTTTTTTTGGTACCAGGAATCGAACTCAGGACCTTGCACTTGCCAGGCAGGAGCTTGCGCCACTGAGCTACATCCCGGCCCATAACCGCATTTCTTGTAAACATGACTTTGAGGAAGGCTGGAAGCAGAGGCGGTTGGGTCCAGCGCATGCCCTGCGAGGTGAGACTCTGAAAGGAAGCTCCCTGCTGTAGCCCACGCGCCCTCATCCTGCCGCGATTCTTCAGTTTTGCAACAGCAAGCTCGTGTGTCAGCCTGGCACGCAACAGTGATATTCTGCTGCCTTAGCGTTTTAGCCTCCGTCCTTTCTCATGGTCTGTTTTCTGACTTCAGATTTTTGTGATTAAAAAAAGCATGAACAGTTGTTAGATGTTGGTACTGACTCAATTCTAAGGCATAGTTCTTTTGAGGATTCATTTCAGATGTTGGGCGGGCTCCCTGGAGGTACAGGCGGAGGAGAACACTTTCTGCCTGCAGCTCCTCCTCTGTCCCGAGGTTTTCCGTGGGTGTGTGCAGAACAAACCCTAGGAGGGAACTGGATGCATGAGACGACGGAAGCCTCCAGCTGTCCTGTCCCTAACTTCAGAGGTCTTAGGGTTTTATGGCTCGGTCTGTGATCAGTACATGTGAATGTAAATGTGTAAAATAAACTCCAGGAAATTAAACATCTCATCAGTGTGTTTTAGAGGTGGAGAATGTGTGGACTGAATTTGGGGGAAGGGCCTCCCACTAGCCATGTACCCTGGACCCTCTGCCACACGGTGGTCGGCAGACCTGGGCCAGAGCCGCAAGGTTTGTCGCCTTCCTGTGAGAGGAGAGGACATCTTCCTTGGGTAGGGCCCATAGTGGAAAGGGATTTCCCACAGGCCTCAGGGTTTTGAGACTTTCTCAGCTAAGTGATGGGTGGTGTGAATTACTGGAAAATGTTTTTTAAAGCAACTGGAGCTGAGTGAGGTGGCACATCCCTTTAATCCCAGCACTAGGGAGGCTGAGGCAGGAGGACTGATGTGAGTTTGAGGCCAGCCTGGGCCACATAATGAGTCCAAGGCCAGCCTAAACTATACATATCAACACCCTGTCTCAAAACAGGAAAGCAAATAAGCAAAAAACAAAAGCAGGAAAATGCAAACCCTTTCCTCCCATCCTGTTAGGCAGAAGTTAAGGTCTTTGAGTTTTTGTTTTGTTTTGAGACAGGGTCTCACTATGTAGTTGAGGCTGGCCTTGAACCTGCTGCATAGCCCAGGCTGGCCCCAAACCCAAGGCAGTCCTCCTGCTTCAGCCTCCCAAATGCTTGGATTGCAGGCATGGCATCATGCCCTGCATGAGGTCTTTAAACTGAAAGTTAGTTTCTTCTGCCCAAGCTCCTCCTGCCTGTCCTAGGGACTCCTGAATTATCGTAGGCACCACATAAGTCACCTGGAATGTCTATTTAAAATGCCATTTCAGCCGGGCGCAGTGGTGCATGCTTGTAATCCCAGCACTTGAGAGGCTGAGGCAGGAGGACTGCAGTGAGTTTGAGGCCAGCCTGGACTACATAGTGAGACCCTATCTCAAAAAGAAAAAGGGACTAGTCAGAAATGCTATTTAATGGTCCCAGCTGTGAATCAGGATCTCTTGGGGGTGGTGCCTGCAAGTAAGCCTCTTAAACAGTTTTCCTGAGAATTCTGAGGCACACACAGACCACCACTGTAGATGGGATGAATGCTTGAGAGCTAGGGACAGGGAGTAGCCTTAGGGGTGAAGGTCAGGGTTCCGTGAAGGGTTAGCAGAGAACCGCAGGGTGGGAAGATGCAGAAGCCACCAGGGGAGCTGGGAGTGAGGGCGGCTGGGAGTGAGCAGGCCAGGCTGGCTGGTGGGAGGACCCGGGCATCCTGCGTGGTGGGAGGAGCCCTGTGGTCAGGCTCTGTTAATGACCTTCCATGGTGATGGTCACACCCGGCCACTAGAAAAGTCTGCAGGCCTGAAGTACGGGAGGCCCAGGGATGGGCTCAGGGATGCTTCCGACATTCAGCACAGGGTGGGTGTGCTGGGAGGAGGGTGCCAGGCAGGGCCGGAAGGGGCCTTCCTTGTTGGTCTGTGCTCTGCGCCAGTGCATGCTAGTGAGGAGGCTGAGTAAGGGGCAATAACAGGCTGCAGGGGCAACAACAGGAGCGGGTAGCAATGAGAGAGAGTGTGTTGACTTATTTTTGAAGACAGGGTCTGGCTAGGTTGCCCAGGCTGGCCCTGAACTCCTGGGTTCAAGCAATCCTCCTGCCTCCGCCTTCTGAGTGGCTGGAACTACAGGTGTTGCCGTGCAGGGTGAGTGGGTGGTTTTATGTAGGGATCAGGGGCTTCTCTGTGGAGTGAGGTCAGAATGGATCTGAAGGAGGTGAGGAGTGAGCCAGCCCAGAGGGGACGGGCGGGGCAGGAGGGTGGCAGGGCTGGGAGACAGGGAGGACTCTGGTGTGACCAGAGCAGAGTGAGGGAGGAGGAAGAGATGGGGTCGGGTTTGGGAGGCTGACTACCTGGGGCCCCTGGGCTTGAGGCTGGAGGGATTTGGGCTGTAGTTAATCTGCTTAAGGTGGGACCTGGGAGAGGGGCATCCGGCACAGGATCATGAGCCAACTGAGGTTTTCACAGGGGCTAGGCAAGTGCTCTACCACTGAGCTGCACTACAGCCTTTTATTCATTTTATTTAATTAATTTATTTTATTTTGTTTCATTTCATTTTGGGGGTTCTGAGACAGGATCTCACTTTGTAGTTCAGGTTCAGGCTGGCTTTGAACTTACTATGTAGCCCAGGTTGGCCCAGAGCTCACAGCAATCCTCCTGCCTCAGCCTCCCAAGTGCTAGGATTACAGGTGTGCACCACCACAACTGCCCTAGCCCTATATATTTTAAATGTATGCATTCTCTGCATGTAAACTGCATTATTAAAAAGCAACAAGGAGAAAAATAGCTGTCGCCCCAGATAGCTCACTTGAGATGTTAGTAAGAATTGCCTCCTCAGTATTCTATAACCGTGAC